TAACACAGCAGTCCCCAACTTGAAGGGGGAGGGGAGGTGGAGCTCAGGCGATGATGCCAGCGATGGCGATGGGGAGTGGCTGTAAATACAGAAGAAGCTTCCCTTGCTCACCTGCCGCTCATCTCCCGCTGTGCAGCCCCGTTCCTAACAGGCCACGGACTGGTACCCCTCTGCTGCTCTGCGGCCTGGGGTTGGGGACCACAGGTTTAACAAACACTGTTCCAGGGACTGTACCAGATGTTGAAGACACAAACAGGAAAGTGACATGATTCCTGCTTGCATCTGTGTGAGCTTAAGCTGGCTTGCAGGGTGATACATACGGTCATGTCATGAAGTGTATGCTGAATAACCAGCAGAGGGAGCCGGTGGCTGAGCTTCAAGCATCAACTGAGTGGTTGAACTCTGTATCTTAATAAAGACCCTGGTCCAGCCCTGAAATTTTGTGAATCTTAAAGGTCAAAAAGGATACATATGCAAATTTGGTATGAAGCCAAACAGTTTAGTAACATAAATGACTCCAGCAAATAGTTATAGCAGTTAGGAGAATGGTAAGCGCCTATATGCCCCAGGTAATGAAGCCTGCTCAACTGGCTCAGCTGATCGTGGCTGTGATTTATGGCTGTGAACAAGCCTTTAAAATTATATACCTGGGCTAGGTGTGGTGGCTCAAGCCTGTAATCCTAGCACTTTGGGAGGCCAAGGCAGGAGGATTGCTTGAAGCCAGGAGTTCAAGACCAGCCTGAACAAGAACAAGACCCCATATCTACAAAAAAAATATTATAGAAAAATTAGCTGTGTGTGGTGACTCCTGCTTGTAATCTCAGCTACTCAGGAGGCTGAGTCAGGAGGATTGCTTGAGCCCAGGAGTTTGAGGATGCAGTGAGCTATGAACACCACTATACTCTAGCCCAGGCCACAGAGCGAGACCCTGTCTCAAAAAAAAAAAAAAAGGTTATACAACTGTACAAATAAATGTAAGGTAATCTCATCAAAGTCAAAATTATTTCTCTCCTTTATATTTTGATTCAACCCTTCAGATGAGCTTTCAGTTTTTATTTTCCAACTAGAATTTATTGCTTCAAAACACACTAGTTATTTCTAGTTTCCTGTGTCTTGGTTAAGGAGGTGGGTTACGTATCTTAGGACCATGTTGTTGCTTAACTGCTTTTTGTCTTGGTACCAGGTGAGTGCCCATTCAATGTAACACTCTACTAGTTAGAACAAGAACACTTGAGAACCACAGACACTTAAGCATTCAGCACCAGAACTTGTGGTAAAAAATTAAGCATGAGAAAATTCATCTTTCCAACAGATTGAGTTCAGTGATCACTATGTTTTTAACAAGGTAGCATTGTAGATTAAAACATTATAATACTAAGTACTGATTTGGAATCAGACAAATTGGATAACATTTTTTTAGTCTTTCTTCATCTATAAAGTGAAGATAACCCTACCTCATGGGGTTGATTTTATTATTAAAATGAGATAATATACATGTAAAATACTTATAACCATGTCTGATAGAGGGTTTTTCAATAAATAGTATTCCTATTAACATATAAATGAGTGCATGATATTTTCTGAGCCTCTTCTTCCATAGACTGAAATAGAGATTTTCTATGTGAATTTTTTTGCCCAGATTCCTGGGAATTGGATAGATTTTCAACTATTAATCCCACAAAATTCTAGTACTCCAACAGCAAAGAATCCACACTGAGTCTGTACAACTTGTTTTCTTCCAAGCAGTCATCAATCTTTCATGGCCCTTCCTGGCCAAGTGTAATCTAAATACTTGAATGAGCTTCTTGGTGCTGACATCTAGAATTTCACAGCACTCATCTGCACTTAATATCTGTCACTGAAAGGCCTGGCACACTGCAGTTAGTTCCTCCTACTGCCAAGGTGTTAATGGTTTAAAGAAAAAAAAAAAAAAAAAGATAGGGCCTGCCAAGCTTGGTTAATTTAGGATACACTCCCTAAAGGAGATAAACGAAAAAGATCTGTGCCTCATGGTTTTATTATCGTGTTGTATATGCAGGGGTTTGGACATAAAAATTTGTGATGTTTATAGGTAACAGAATTAGGTTCAACAGGATTTTTTATTTAGGCACATTTCCATCCAAAATGGGGAGAGGGATTTCAGATCGGTAGTCTACAACCTAGGTCTTGAGAATTTTCAATCCTAATAGAAATTGCATTATCCCACAATAACACTATATGAACTAATAAAACACTACGCTTCTCTAATTTTGACTGGAATTGTATTTTATAGTGACACTAATTATCTCACAAGTAATTTAAAGCTCTAATTGGACTTTATGTTTAGATGACTTTTGTGAAAAATAAATTAATAAATGCCATTTACTTAACTAAGTTTTTATTTTAACTGAACTCCTTCACCACCTTTAAGTTTTCCTACCAAAAATATTAAACCTAAGCCTAATGAACCCTCAAGGAACTAGTCTAGATACGACCAATATACAGGAGATACAGGAAACATAAAATTATGTGTTAAATGATACCTCAGGGATATAATCTACAGAATCTAGAATTTAGGACAAATATCCTAGTTTCTTCAATAAAAAAGAGACAGCAATAAAAAAAAATGAACTATTAATACACACAAATTGGAATGATGCTCAATGACCCTAGTTTGTAATCCCAAATGTTGCATACTGTATGAGTCCATTCATATAAAATTTCTGATCAGGAATCAGCAACCTTTGGAGCTTAATGCCCAAGAGGGTGCTAGTCTGCGTGGAACAAAGCTCCAATGGTCAATGCATTCAGAGCCCCATGAGTCTACGCAAGGGGCCTCTATTAACTGTGGGTCACTTGCCACCTCTCTTTAATCAGCATGTATTGAATGGGCACATGTGTTATACTGGGCACTGGATATAATAAAGGGAAATAAAACATGAGTTTGCAATGAGACTATGGAGTCAGACTCAGCAAACTTGAATTAGAGGACAATTACATCTTAAAACACGTAGTACTTACCCCCGTAATATGCTGAAATTAAAAAAAAAAAAAAAAGGAAAGGCAACTTACGGAATGAGAGAAAATATTTGCAAACCATCTATCTGTTAAAGGGTTAATATTCAAAATATATAAGGAACTCTTACAACTCAATAACAAACAAAAATACCCTAATAACCCATTTAAAAAATGGGCTAAGAACTTGAATAGACATTTCTCCAAAAGAAACATACAAATGGCCAACGGATATATAAAAAATTTTCAACATCACTAATAGGGAAATGCAAATCAAAACCATGATGACATTTCAGCTCACACCTGTGAGGATAGCTATTACAAAAAAATTTTAAAAACCACGTAGTACTAGCGTTAAAGACAATAAAGATTCTGAGGGGACTGCTCCATATGAGCTGAGCTAGGCAGAGAAGGCATCCTGGAAGAAACACCAAGTGAGCAGTTAACATGGAAGGAGTGTGGATTTCAGGTACCAGATATATAGTGTGAGCAAAGATAAGTAGCAGGAATGAGCGTGGCAGATGTGAGCGCCAGCATGAAAGCTGTCTGGATCTGAAGGTGTGACTGTGCAGTACTGGGACATAAGGCCGTGTAGATGGACCAGGGCCAGGCCGTTGCAAACCAGGCAGAAGAATGAAGTTTTCTGAAAGTAAGAGCTAAATCATCCTTGTAGGTTTTTTTAGTAGATAGGGGTGACCTGACAAAATTATGACTATTCAAATGAAAGTTTATGCGGTTTGAGAGACAGTTCAACCATATATAAATGTCCTTAAAAATCTTTATACCAATAGGTTCTGTTTCTCAATCAGATACTAATAATGTGGTTGTGTTTAGGTTATTTACCTTGTAAAAATTCAGCAAACTTTACACCGATGATTTGTGTACTTTTCCTCATATATTTTATACTCAAAACATTTTTTTTAGTATAATTCACACTCGCCTAGTAGAGTGTGAAGGGAGAGCTGAGACCACCACATATGTTGTATGTATACATCTGTGAACCCATGGATAATAACAGAAATAATAATCTATCACTAACTTGTCAAGGTCACACATCATTAATGGTGGAGCTAGGTCAGGAATCTTTAGGTTTCCTGATAATCAGTCCAGTATGACTTCTTGATAGAAAATGATAAACATTTCATTCTTTTTAAGATGGTACTTAGTGGAGATCTTGGTAGACTTCCCTAGTCTATATATATTGCTTATATATTAGAGAAAACAGGTTATTAGCATTTCCCAACTACAGACAGAAATTCTTTAAAGATTTGCATCTAAACATAGATAGAAATATCCCACTCCCCTAAGATTTACCCTAAAAATAAATCATTGCATTTGAGAAACTTTTTCCAAACTTAATAAAAATGCCTTTTTTGTCATACACACAATGTAGACCCAACTTGTCTACTTTTGAGATAGTATGCAAAGATTTAGCTACAAGCAAATATGTAATTAGTGGAACAAGTTAAATTGTATGTTCAATATGATCTCATGTCTATAATAATATACTAGAAATACATAATATAGAAAAAAATAATTAGGATATCTACCAAAATGTTGATTATCTCTATGTGAAAGAATAAGTAATTTTATTTTCTTACTTTTTCTTATTTTATTATTAATTTTCAACAATTAATTAAACAATTGAATTTTGTAATCACAAAATAAATTCTTTTTTTTAAACTTAAAAAATGTAAGCTAGACACACCAAGCTTTCTATCCAGATACAGTCATATATAAAAATCATGTCTCAGCACTTTACTATTAATATATCACTTTAAAAGGGATCATTTCAATGGCCTGTTCTTCTAGATAATGTTAAAAGGCTAATTAACTATTGAAATGCAAGTTTTTCACCAGATGAATATAAAATCTTATTTCAGTAAGACGTTTCATTTAGACATAAAATTTGACAAGAACACCATCTGGGTAGAATAGCTATCTATTGAAAGAAGCTGCTTAAATGTGTAACACAATAATAAACCCCTATAAAAATGTTTCTGCAGGTATGCTGGTATCCTTCTGGGCATCACAAATACTTTTGGCACTATTCCAGGAATGGTTGGCCCTGTCATTGCTAAAAGTCTGACCCCCAACGTAAGTAGATAATTTGGTTGTAAACTGAAAAGGTTTTGGAGCTATACATCTGTGTCAAAGTTGAGTATATTTTAATTAAGGGTAAAATTCTGAATGTTTATTCTCATGAAATTCTTTTTAGCAACAAAATACTAAATGCTTTAATGGATGGGAAGGTATACTTTCAAAGAATACTCTTTGAGTTTTAGACAGAACAGTGGGACTAAGTTAAATTATGATCTTATAGCTGAAACCACACAGGTAGTTAAAAGTTATGATATTATACCAGATGAACAATTCGTGTCTTTGGTTTGGATGAATAAAAATTAGCAATGTAAAATTATTCAAAAAGTAGGCCCGTGAAGGTGAGGTGTCAGGAAATCAGGTGAGAATGAATGAGGAACAACTGAAATAATTGAGAATGTTTAGAGAATCAGAGGACTTGGGAAGGCCGGCGTGGTGACTCGTGCCTGTAATCCTAGCACTCTGGAGGCTAAGGCGGGAGGATCGCTTGAGCTCAGAAGTTCGAGACCAGCCTGAGCAAGAGCAAGACCCCATCTCTACTAAAAATAGAAAGAAATTGGCTGGACAACTAAAAATATATAGAAAAAATTAGCTGGGCATGGTGGCACATGCTTGTAGTCCAAGCTACTTGGGAGGCTGAGGCAGGAGGATTGCTTGAGCCCAGGAGTTTGAGGTTGCTGTGGAGCTAGGCTGACGCCACGGCACTCACTCTAGCCCGGGCAACAGAGTGAGACTCTGTCTCAAAAAAAAAAAAAAAAGAGGACTTGGGAAAACATGCTAGATTTCTTCACATATTTGAAGGGCTGCTAAATAAAAGATGGAGACCTATTCTCGGCAGGGCCACAAAGACAGATGGAGAGAAGTTATGAGGAGACATTAGGAAGGTTTTCTGTTCAAAGCTGTTACTTTATGGAATGAGCTGCCTTAGGAGTTAGTAAGCCCTGAAATAGTCAAACATTTATTTAACAGGCATTTCTTGAGTGCTTATTAATTTGCTAGATACTAAGGATTAAAAGGCAAAATGATAAACTGCTTTTACACTTGAGAAACTTACCATTTAGAGATTATATGTAATCAAACAGCTAAAGTACAGTGTGACAAATGCTGCAGAAAAAATGCATGCAGAGTACTGTGGGAAGACAGGAGGGAACAACCTCTCTGTTCCTGGGTGGGAGGGCTGGGGAAGGAGCCCTCCAGGAGTGAGTGGGGGATGTGATAAGGGTGGGACACAGCCTGGGCTCTTGGGGCAGGGTAGGCCCACAGTCCTGAAGCTGGAAGGCGGCACAGGGCCAGGTGAGTGAGCAGAGTATTTTTAAAAGTTGCCTACACTGTTTAAGAAATCAAAATAAATGGCCTCAAAGGCCCCTTCCAACTCCCAATGTTCTACCATTTAAAAATATCTAAAGGGCCAGGCGTGGTGGCTTACGCCTGTAATCCCAGCACTCTGGGAGGCCGAGGCGGGAGGATCGCTTCAGCTCAGGAGTTTGAGACCAGCCTGAGCAAAAGTGAGACCCTGTGTCTACTAAAAGTAGAAAAAATTAGCCAGACGTGGTGGTGTGTGCCTGTAGTCCCAGCTACTCGGGAGGCTGAGGCAGTAGGATCGCTTGAGCCCAGGAGTTTGAGGTTGCTAGGCTAACGCCGTGGCATTCACTCTAGCCAGGGCAACAGAGTGAGACTCTGTCTCAAAAAAACAAATATCTAAAGAACTAGTGGAACATCTCCTTCAAGAGGTGTACTTAAGCCTCCTTTCTTTCTCCATGTTTTTCCTTTTTTGCTAAATAACCGCACTCTGGCTTCCCAGTGCCTTCTCTTTCTTATCATTGCCAGTTCTACAGCTGTTTTTTTTTGTTGTTGTTGTTGTTTTTTTTTTTTTTGAGACAGAGTCTCACTCTGTTGCCCTGGCTAGAGTGAGTGCCATGGCGTCATCCTAGCTCACAGCAACCTCAAACTCCTGGGCTCAAGTGATCCTCCTGCCTCAGCCTCCCGAGTAGCTGGG